TTATTTAAAGAATAAAAAGGAAAAAGTTAAAAATTTTAATAACTTTATTATTATTAAGCTTTATAATTATAAAGTTAAATAATAAAAAATTTTAAATTAAAATATTAATACTATTATAATAAAAAATTAATAAAAATAAAAAATAAAAGGATAAAAGTAAAAATTTATTAAAAAAAATTATAAAAATTCTTTTTAATAAAATGTTAAATTATAATAATTATATTTTTAAATTAAAAACGGAATAATTAAAAGTCCTTTTAAATATAAACTTCTTTTTTATTATTAAAGTAAGGATATAATTATAAAGTAAAGGTAAATTAATAATAATAGTTAAAGTAGGTATTATAAGTAATATAATCCTTTTAAAAAATAAAAAAAAAATATTAATAAATATTAAAAAAAAATTATATAAGGATAATATATATTATTTTTATATTTTTAATATTTATAAATATATATATTTTATAAACTTCCTTTTTTATATTTTTAAATATAAAAGTAAAATTAATAATTAAAATAGTAACTTTATAATATAATATTAATAAATATATATATTAATATAATATAGTTAAATTAATAATAATAATAATAATAATATTAATAATATATTAAAAACTAATATATTAAAATAAAAGTAAATTTAAATTATAAATGTTTTTAATTATTAAAAGTATTATTTATTTAAAAAAATATAATTAAAAATTAAAAATAATAATAAAAATTATAAAATAGGAATAAAATGTTAATAAAATATAATTAATATATTAGTTTATATAAATTATAACATTTATTATATTAAATATAATAGGTTAAAGAAATATTACTTTTAAATATATATATAAAATAAAATAGTATTACTTTTTAAATAGTATTACCTTTTTTATAATATATATTAAGGTTAATTTAAAAGTAATAAAGGTAAAACTTTTTATTTATAAAAATAAGTATATATATTAATATAATAATAATAGTAATAAATAAAAAAAAATAAAAAAAGGTATAAGTAAGGCATTTAAAAAAACTTTTTTTAAAAAACTAAAAATAAAGCTAAGCATTACAATTATAAAAAGGTAATAAAATAAATATAAAAAAGGAAGGAAAAAAAATAAAAAAGCATATAGGGTAAATAATTAATTAATATAATAAAAATTTTTACTATAGGGCTATAGGGCGCTATTATATTGTTTTAAAAAGAAGTATAGCTTAAAATAAATAATATAGCATATATATTATATAACTATATTATAAATAAATTTAAACTTATATAATTAAAGTTAATTATATTTAAAAGAGGGGAATATTATTATAGAATTAAAAAAGCTTAATTTCCAATATATAATATAAATTAAGGAACATTATATATAACGCTAGGAAAGGGAATAAGGGGTAAAAACTAAAACTTCCCTCCTTATATAATAATAGAACAAATATATAAAACCACAGCTGGGCAATACTATAACAGTCCCGCAGCAGACAGTATCTCTGGGATACTATCTCCGGGCAGATATATATACTATAACAGACACTATCCAGAGGATAATATCTAGGGACACCATCCCTATATAGCGTCTATAAATAGGACTTAGGAAATACATCAACTTCTAACTGACCACTTCTAACGACCTTACATCAAATACTTAAGCAGCAATACACCTGCCGAATCCTTAGATCTTATATTGAGCTAACATTGAAAAACAAAAAATAAGTGTACCACTCGCTACATATACACCCCCAGCCTACATAGTAGACCTGACAATCTTGCGTCCTGTGGCTCTGCCCGAGATAAGTTTGGTACCTGAGAGAAGCTGGTTGAAGGTGGTACCAAAGTAGTCTCCTGCCACAACCTAACAGCTAAGGCCAATTAGTGCTTCTAAATATGAAACCCGCCTAACTAACTACTCTGTACGAATCTTTTCACCGGAATATAGGTAGAGATAAAATATTTGACTGCAGTCGATTGCTCTGATACTGTACTAGCAGTCCCTTATCCGGCGATTGTTCACGTACATTGAGCGCTTCACTTTTAAGTCCTATACCCGTAAATCATTCAAGGACAGGGTTAGCAATTAGTATTACTACATTATACCTGTAGTAATTCACTATTATTAAGTATAAAAAATTAGTTTTTAATATTTTTTAAAAAGTTTTAAGGATTTAACTATATATTTAACATTTATTATTTAATTTTATTAATTAAATAATTTTAATATTTATATTCGATTTAATATAAAAGAAAATATAGGTGTAGTAATAAAGTGTAATAAAAAAATACTACACTTTTTTACTACACTTATATTTTTCATTATATAAAATTAAATATAAGTGGTAAAATTAAGTAGTTTATAAAATTAAATAGCTAGGTTTAAATATATATTTAAATCTTAAAATTTTTTTTAAAAAAATTAAAACTTAAATATGAAAATTAAAAAATAATGAATTACTACAGGTATAGTATAGTAATACTAATTGCTAACCCTGTTCAAGGAGATAGGTATTTAAAGCTTAAACTACTATTTAAACTAGGACAAGTCTGGATGTGCAATAGGGCCCACTCTAAACGTGTAGTACATAACTATTAACAGGGTATTCCAACTAACTATAACATCTACACATTGTATACATTGAAAAACGCACTAAAATCAGGGGTTATAAAGTATAAGGTTATTATAAGTTATTAACTAACACCTTTTTTAATTATATATTTTAAAAGTATAACGTTAATATATAAAAGTAATAAAATTGGATTAAAAGAGTTATTAAAGGTTAAAAGTTAAGTAATGGTTGAAGCTTTGAAGTTGTAGATAGTGCGGAGAAAATAGTACCAATGAGGCGTTATAGCCCGCTATAGTCTCTAACAGCTGAGTGCAGTTGTGTACTGCACGTTTAGAGTGGGCCCTACTGCACATCCAGACCTGTCCTTAAACTATGTCAAATTATCAAGGGGTGGGACAAAGTATTAATAACCAGCGAGTCAGCGCAGTGACGGAGTGGCATGTCAGATGGCGTCAAAGCATTCCTGAACAGATAACTTGCCAAATGTATATTGTCAATGACTTCCATTTTGTGATCGTTCTTGTGGGAGACTGTCACCTCCAAAAGGACACGGCCCCTTGGTAGGGAATATCGCCTCGTAGTAGCCTCTTTTCACCCCAGAAGCAGAGACGAACCCCAGGCGCCAAAGTCTCCTCTTCATTGTTGACTGGGTGTTCTTATGAGCCAAACGCCGATACAAACACAATTCCCAGGCTTCTCCGGCAGAGGGGATGCACAACTGCATCCAACATGGTTGTCTTCCACAGGTGTGGTCAACTCGGGAGCCTATGCAAATACATTCCACCCCTCAGCAGCAAGCTGAACAGAAGCATCCTTGGTTATGAGTCTGAAGTCTGTGCCGCTAACATTACGCCATGACTTTTAATTTTCTCCTCCTAGTCTACTACCATTTCGACACCTGTAGCATCGATACCTGATCGATAAATGTTGGAGCTTCGGAAAAAGGGACTGAAGTGTCCACATGGCTTCATTCAGCACATTTAGGAGTCGGGGATATGGGTTGATTATCACCATACTGCTCGTTCCGGTCTTCTCAGTCTTGTTCTTCTGAGAGAATTGGATGAAACTTAGCCTCTCGGCACAAAGCTAGGGTGTAAATACCGCCGCCGGCACACAAGAGCAAATGATTCTGAGGTTAACATCGGAAACACTGATACTATACTATTAGAAACAAAGAATTAACGGAAGAACTATTACTTGCACTGAAGCATACGTTTACAGCGAAGCCCAAAAGAAATCGGGGTCATGCAACAAAACTATACAGGAGGGTAATGAGGCAACGGAGAAGCTGCACGTGCTGTAATCCGGATTGTACGGGAAGAATCATTAATAATCAGGGCTGAAGCCACGGGAATCGCAAGGACGTACAGAAAATCTGTTGCTAATAGTGCTGCGAGCCCAATCTTCCTAGCTGTCGATAAATTGAGCCCAGAATTAGATTGAAGTGGAATCATGATGACATAGATATCCATGAACGCTCCCAGCCCGCTAGAGGTTATGGGTATCTTGTGATTTGCGCTAATTGTTCTTGCCAAAAGTGAGGCATCACTGAGTCTCGAATCGCCCCCATACGATATGTGGTAGTAGACACTTACTGCTAAAAGCGTGGGATAGAAGATTAGAATGAAGGCGGTCCCAGCTCTAATCAAAGCTCGACTGCGAGGTGGCGGCGGGAATAGGCAATGGTAAAAAGCCATCAAAGCAAGTTTAGTTCGAGCTCTGCTCGCCGAGTATAATATTGATATAGCAACAGCCTCCTATAGCACATTAGCCTCAACGGTGATCGTTTTGTCTTCTGTGGCGAGGTATATACCCGCCTTAAAAAGGGCCGTGGTAATCGCGCTACGTAGGAAATCCTAAAGGTGACGTCCGTAAACATTCTAAGGGGTTAGATTATTTTTCAGTAAAAAATCATCTAGAATTAGTAGTGAGAATGGTGGTCTTACAGCTCCTGAGTAGTGTTGCACATAGGCCGATGCTCGATAACTTGATACGCCTTGGATAAAGGTGTTAGGGATTATATAATAAGAAGGACCAAACCCGGCAACAATGCATAAATCTAAACAGTCAATCCAAGATATCATAAAGCAGTAGGCATAGTATCACTTACAATCTCCCCAGTTAAGCCTTTGCCGCCGATGATAACGGGGATATAGGCGAATGATGAGACATATTACTGCGACAGGTAGAGTGATGTGTATATTAGAAACGAGTGGTATTCAAGCCTACGACGGAGGGTCTGTAGAATTACTCTCTTACCCTGCCGGGGATGGTGCAATTGGAGTCTCGGTAGGATCAAAGTCAGCCATTCTGAGATACGATGATGCCAAAACAAAGAAATGTAGAAGATCCGAGGCGCGGTCGGGACTCTCCAGCTTTACCTAACGTTCGTCTATCCTTAAACGAACCTGCATACGACTCTATATATATCGAATTATTATCGTATGGCTTCTGCTGTGACTGTCTGCTAGCTAAGTTCACCCTGGTGCACATAATGGCGCCGCACCGCTATGAGATATTAAAATTGCCGTGTATCCAGATAATTCTAACATCGACTCCACTGAACTGGCGATAACGTTGTTCCAAAGGGCCCGTCTGATGCTTCCTATTAACTCAATGCCCCAATAGATATATTATGTTGCAAAACATGTTACTCAGGATTCTAGTTCTATTGGTACCACCTTAGACAGTGGCTCAATAGTACTTATTATGCCGACTGTGCTTCTCTCTTCCAAGCCAGACTGGCAAGGTAGCTGTAGTCCCCCGAGGCGGTTTCTCGATACATTGAATACTGACTTCTGCAACGGTTTCTCGTATGCTGTTGACGTCTCACCAATAAGCAACATGACATCTTACCCTCCCGGGCGAATTTCCAATAGAATCACGGCCTTCTCCGCGCTCAAATTAGCTGCAGCGTGACATTAGTGGCATGCAATCATCGATGCGCTAGTTTTAGATGCTGTTGCCTTGCCACCTCTAGAGTCCCTCATACTCCTAAGGCTGTCCTTTTCCAAGTTTATTCTCCCTATTTTTTTCGAAAGTCCTCTAATCTTTTGATTTGTGTGCCCAACTTATCAAAATTTACAGGGTTGAGCCAGTCTTCAAAGGCATTTTTTACACCGGGCCAGTCGTCGTCAACTATAGCAAACCAAGCTGTATCTCTATTTCTTCCCTTGATGATCATATGTTTTCTGAACACGCCTTCGAACGTGAATCCCAGCCTGAGCGCGGCCCTTCGGCTCGGTGCGTTTAGGGTATTGCATTTCCACTCGTATCTCCGGTAGTCTAGGTCCTCTAACGCGTGCTTTGCCATGAGATACATGGCCTCGGTCGCGGCGGTGGAGCGCTGTAGCTTTGGTGAGAAGAGAATGCTGCCGACCTCAACTCCGCGATTGACTGTATCGATTCGCATGTAGCTAGCACAACCCACTACATTGTCGGCGCCATCTGTTGTCCTGGGCTGGTCGCTTGGAATTATGGCGTATGTGATTGTGTCTTGGCTCAGGATTTTAGCTTCCATTGCTATGCGAAATGTCGCAAGGTCGGCGAAGGGCCCATCAAATAAGTAGTCCCAAAGATAGGTGTTCTCTTCCCCAGACACATGCGCATAGAGAGGTTCAATGTGCTCTGAAGATAGGCCGACCAGGGTCACATATTGACCTGACAATTTGGCATCCTGAGAAGGCCTCCTCGCAAGCTTTCTCTCCACGATAGCACCTAGGGGATTTGAAGTTTTTGAATTCATTTTAAAAACAGTGTTGGCTTACAGGGCCAAGGTTTTTGAGCCCAAAAGGTGTTGATGCACAGATTCCGACCATGTTAATAAATCAATGAAAAGTGAGTCAGCTAAAACGCGACTCCGATCTCGCCCACCCCATCTTTAATGATCTATAAGCCCACCTATTAACAAACAATCCAACCCTGTTAGGGTTACATAGGGGGTTCCTATAAACCAGGGTTGGTAATTAGTCAGACTAAAGTGAATAAATGAGTGACTAAATTAGTCACTCATGAATAATCACCTTAAATAATTAATATAAAATCGAATTTTCAACCTTTTTTTATATTATTAAATGATTAAAATACTACTTAAAACAATAATTATTATAATATATTAACCTTTAAAAATAAACTTAAACTGGATTTTTAAAAGCCTTAATTAAAATTTAATTTAATTAAATAACGCATCTCCCACTTGACCTGGCCACCCAATTGACCTGGCCACCCCCCTAGCCCATACAAAAAACGTCGGTGCGTTAATTACGTAATAATTTAATAACTCTACGGATATTGGTCGTATAAAATGGTAAAATATACCGTTAGATTCGTAATAAGAAGAGCTATTTAACGATATGCTTTACTAACTTTTACGACTCATATCCGTGGAGATATTAAGCAATACGCTAAAGTAAGCGCTAAATTAATCCTTGCTTAACGCTCCTTTAGCGTATTGCTTAATATCTCGCTTAATAAATTTGGTAAAAAATAGTAAAAAATACCTCTGGATTCCCCTTTAACTAACGGATTTAAAAGTACTAATTATTAAATCGTACGACTAACATTCGTTAAGTTATTAAAGATTAAAATAATAGGGTTTTATATAGGTTATTGGGGTGGCCAGCTCAATTGGGTAGCCAGGTCAAGTGGGAGATGCGTTAGGTATAATATATAAAGTTATTAATAATTATTAAAAATATATTATTAATTATAAGGTAACAAAGTAAAGAATAACATGTTAGGTTATAACCTTTATTAATTAAGCTATATATATTATAATAAATATATTAAATGTATACGGTGCTGGAATACTATATACATTATAAAGGAGCATTATAGAAACGGTAAAACGTAAAGCATATATCAATAAGATTATATGATTTATAATTAATATTTATATATATATATTTATATATATACTTATATTTTAATTTACCTTTTCCTTCCTTTTTTCTTTAATTTAGAATTTTTATTTATAATATTAATATAATTATACTTTAAACTTTTAATTATAATATTATTTTAAGCTTATTTTTTTATTAATAAATGTTAAATAAGTATATTATTTATATTTAATTATTATAATTTATAATTTATAAATTAAACCCTTTTTTATTATTATATCCTATATTTAATAATATATAAATATAATCTTATAATAGATTTAATTAATTATATTAAACTTTATACTTTTAAAGATTAAAAAAACCTTAATTAAAATAAATAATTTATAATGATTTTTAATAATTATTATTCTATAATGCATTTCCTATTTAACCTAACTAGCTAATTAATTTAATTATATTTTTAACCTTTATATATATATTTAAAAATATTTTAATAACTATTTATATAATTAACTTAAACTAATTTAAATTTAAATTATTAAACGTTTTTATAATATTTTTATAAATTTATATATTATAGCTAAGTTTATTATAAGCCCTATAATATTAAATATAAGTTTCCTTTTTTTTTATATAATAATTACTTTAATATATAATATAATTTTTTACTTTAAAAATACCTAATACCTTTATTTAATCCTTAATATTTTTAATAATAAAAAATCCTTTACTTTATAATTTAATTTTCTTTATATAATAATATTTATTAAGTTTATAATTTATTTTATAAAAGCTTTTAACCTTTCCCTTTAATAATATAAAATAATATAAAATATTAATTATATTATGTATAATTTAGCTTAACCTTTTAATAATAAATATAAAAAAGTTATTTTAATATTATATAATTCTTTATTTAATATATTTAAAAAGGAAATTAACTTTAGTTAAATTATTTAAAGTTATAATTATATAAAAATTAAATAATATTAAAAATAAAAGGTTAATTTAAAGTATAACTAAATAATTTAATTAATTAATAATATATTTTAAATTATATAGTATTAAATTTATTCCTTTAAATCCCTTTTATATATTATTTAAAATAATTGCTTTATTAAATATATAAAAAAATATAGTTATAAAATTTTCCTTTTAAATATAA